GAGGGGGGAGGGTCAGAGGGAGAAGCAGACCCCCCGCCGAGCAGGGAGCCCGATGCGGGACTCGATCCCGGGACTCCGGGATCATGACCTGAGCCGAAGGCAGTCGCTTAACCGACTGAGCCACCCAGGCGCCCCTATTACTGTTGGTTTTTAACATCTGTCCCATCTTACAGAACCAGAAAACTGAGGCCCAGAGACAGACTCGTTCAAAGACATACAGCCAAGTGCCGGCAGAGCCAGGACTCCAACCCCAGTTTTCAGACTCTTACGTCCCATGTCCTTTCCCTGATGCCACACTGCCTTCCCACTGCAGGACAAGACTCAGAGGCTCTGCTAAGGTCACTAGAAAGTGTCACCATGGGGCAGACTCTAGTCCATACTTTCTTTGACGGGCCCACCTGCTTGGAGCACCCTCACATCTTTTTGCACATATGTGCATGCACACATGCACACGCATACACACACACATGCAGTGTTCATGGAGCGTCTGCTGTGTACCTGGCACTGACCTAGAATCACTGGGATCGTGATGGTCAATAAATGAAACACATTTTTGCTCTGACTGACTCACAGACATCAGACAGAGATGGTGTCGTTACAGACCGAGATAAGTGACAGGGCAGATGTAACAGGGCCTGTAGAACATCTCGAGGGGACCCACTGGAGACGGGGACCCACTGTAGAGGGGACCCACTGGAGACGGTGGGAGCAGAAATCCCTCTTACAAGAGCCATTTACACTGAGACCTGAAGGACCAGAGGGTGGGCAGGTGACGAGGACAAGCATTGCAGGCGAGCACCAGCAGGTGCAGAGACCCTGGGGGAAGACACTGCAAGTCTGGAGAGCTGAAGCACAACACTGGTGGCCAAAGCTAGTAGCCAAAGCACAGCGGGCAAGGGGTGGCGGGAGCTTGAGCCGCAAGCAAGCCTAGACCACGTGGGACCTCAATGGCCAGAAAGGAGGTTGGATTTTCGCCTAAAGGGGCAATAAGAGCCTCAGGATTTTGTAGGGCCTGCAGGAAGCAGAAGGAGGGAGACCAGGGAGACCAGGGAGGGGGAGCCAGAGAAGAAAGGTTGCCGGAGGGCAGATGTGCACGATGCAAATGAGACAGGCCAGAGGGAAAGGAATTATAACAAAGACGCTGATGGCCAAGTGACCCGGGAGGCTCCAGAGAGTAAGAGAAAGATGAGCTGGTCCGACACAACATGTAACTACTGGCTTTTAAAGCAACATTAACCTCTCTGAGACTTCACGTGTTCATCTGCACGTTTTCTACCTTCCTACCTCTCCAACAAGGCTGTGCATACAAAGTGCAGGAGGAAATCACACAAGCCGATGAAACAGAATCCTTTCCTACGGGCGGGCCTGGGACCGAGACCAGCACTCAGCCTCCTCCTTGACCTGCCGGGGCGTCCTAAGTGATGCGGCTGAGAGGTGCAGAGGTGCCAGGCCGGGCTGGGGTGGGGAGGGGAAGCAGGGATGGAAAGAAGGGGCAGGCATCCCGACAGAATGGCTAGAACGGAAAGTCCTGAGTGCTGAGTGCTGGGGAGCAGGTGGGGCCGCGGGAGCGCGCGTGCATCGCTGCTCGGAGCGGCTTCGGCACATGGGCATTACCGACCACGGCTGATGCACACGCCGTAGGCACCAGCAGCCGCCTCCCGGGTATACGCCCGACAGGTGCAGGGCGGCTCCATAAACGGCTGCACAGCCAGACACTAGGAGGCTAATTAAGGCTGAGACACACTGGTGAGTGAAGAAGGAAAGTGACAATGTCTACGGCACAAGACGCGTACAAAAACGTGCACGGGAGCTTTTTGCGGAACAGCCCCAGACTGGAAACAACTGAAATGCCCATTAATAGAAGACAGAGAGAAAGCGGTGTACTAGCGTGCAGAGGAATACAACACAGCATGAAAGACAAGCCACGAGCTCCGCTTGGAGCTCACAAAGTCGGTGACTTCTCAGGCTCTCCTCCTCCTTCAGCGCGGCGTCAGCCTAGAGGCTGCAGGCCGCCCCCCCCCCGTACCCCTGGTGGGGTGTCACAAGGCCACCTGGAGGTCCTGGGCATGGGCGCGTGCCCCTAACATCCCTCAGCCACTGCTGCAAGGCAGGGCCTGGGCTCTGCCGGTGGGACAAGAGGACACCACTAATGTCTCCCGGAAAGGCGTTCCTCAGACACAGTGTGTGCATGTGCACGCGTGTGTACACGTATGTGTGCATGCATGCTGGGGCTGAAGTCAGGTGGCAGCAGAATCTGAAAAAGCCACGAACACGTTGCTGTTTGCTCTCTGAGCACCTGTCCTGCTACAGGCTCTGGGCCAGGGCGTCAAGGGCTGAGCTCATTTAATCCTTGGTGGTGGCAAGTTGTGGGGACAGATTCCGCTCCTGGAGAAATTGGGTGGGAAGAACAGTGTGGGGGATGGGGGAGTGTGGGTCCGGAGAAAAGAAACCTGGATCGTAACCCAGCTACCTCGTTCACCTTGGGGGCGCCCGGGCTTTAACCCGAGGCTGGAGAACAAAGTGGTCAAGAGCTTGGGGTCTGAAGCCAGATTTCCTGGACTCATTCCCTGCTTTGCCATTTATCTACCATTGACCTTGGGCCCATTTTCTCCCTTGCAAGGTGGGATCATGGGCAGCCCCGACCTGGGGCCGGGGGCGGGGGGTGGGCTCTTGTGAGGTTAGAGGGGTTAATCTATGTAAAGTGCTCATAACAGGCCTCAGTGTTAGCTGCCATTTTATCCACAAAATGGAAATGTTAGTCCTCCTTGTTCCAAAGGTTGCTGCTCAGATAAAGTCCAAGAGTCATTACAAAAGTGCCTGGAGAAATTAAAAGAAGGTGGTATGTTTTTAACAGACCCACAGACCTTGTTAAAAGCTGGAAGAGGGCTGAGGAAATGTAGCCACCTGGCAATTTAGGATTCCTGGATCTAGATTTAAAGGTGCATTTGAGCAAGTGCAGGAAGAAACA